CCCTACATGTAAAATAAAATCGACCATCCTGTTTTATGTGGACAGCTCAGTGGCATTAACTGCATTCACATTGTAAGGCAGCCATCACTGCCATTGGTCTCTAGAATGTTTTTATCTGCCCCAGTGGGAACTCTGCATCTGGGAAACACCGACTCCCCACTGGCTGGGTTGTTTGAAGAGTGGCTGACTCACAGTCACAGCAGTCATTGAGAGGAAAAGGCACAGGCCACAAACGGTTCTGCGGTGCGCTGCCCTCCACCGGGGCTCCTCAGACCTGATCCGTCACTGGAGATGGCAGGGCTGTGTTGCTTCTTTCTTGTCGGTTTCTTTCTCCTGTGAAAGAGGCAGACAGACTGCAGGAAGAGACACACAGCATCTCTTCAAGGGTCTTCATGCTGCAATCCACCCGTACCCCCAGCCTCAGCCAGCCCGCGTCACTGGCATGTGTGCACATGTGCACTTGGCATGTAGAGGGAACCTCCGGATGTGGAGTCATGATGAACCACACCTCCTTGTGTGGTCATCATGTCACGCTCTGCCACTGGCTGATCCCAATATTGCTTCTACTCCAGCTTCACCAGGGAGATCAGACCTTGAAAAAGAGAGGCCAGGGGGTCCGTGTAGAGGAGCGGCCTCTCCCCAGTGGGTGCTGTCCCCATCTGTGAGTGGGTGGAGAAGAAGCCACATGAGATTGGGGCATCCCCAAGAGCAGGTGCGAATACCTGTTATAAGCAGCAGCCTGTTCTCAGGATGGGGACATTGCAGGTGCTTTGTAGACTGCAGCTGAGTTGAGGGCCAATGTCTAGTGGTGGCTTGTTCTTGGACTTACCCTGACTCACTGGCCCATTCAGAGGTGTTCATTACGGAACCTTCATGGGTTTTTCTGTCTCTGTCCTTCCAGTGGGGAGTTCTCTGTACCCCCCCAGGCATCCTTCCCATGTAGTCATCAGGCTGTGACTCAACCTCCCCACCCCCAGATTCATTCTGTTTTCTCTTAAATGCTGGGTAGGATAATCTTTATTCTGAGCCCTTCTGTGCTTTCCCCTTTTGAAAGCCCCAAATCCTGCTTAATCTAAGCAGAAAGCCTTCCAGCGTGATTCATCAGCTGCCTCTTTGTGGTATTGCAGGAAGTTAAAATCTCCAGCCCGGATTATAAAGACTGCAACTCGGCAGAAGCCATGGACGACTTCATGAAGAGAATCAGTTGCTATGAAGCCAGCTATCAGCCCCTCGACCCTGATAAATGTGACAGGTAGTTCCTGCGAGTTGACCAACTCTGAGTTACCTGCAGTAGGGTTTTTAAAATTTGCTTGATGTTCTCACAAAGCATTTGCTCTGAGTACTTCTATAAACTTTTAAAAATGTCTTTTTTTATAAAAAAAAAAAAATTCTCAGGACTAGCAATTGGCATAATAGCTATGTTGTTGGACTCCCATATAGTCGACCACAGTTTGAGTCCCAGACCCAGTGGCTTAAACTCATGCCGGGTGCATGTGTATTGTGCCCAAGATCCTGAGAGAAGAATGGAGGTGAAGGGATTGCGGTGTGGCCATTGCCCCGGGGGATGATTCCTTGCTTTCTGTCTCTCCGTTTCTTTCTTTCTGGAGAGCACACACACCCTGTAGCCAAAAAAAAAAAACCTTAAAAAAAACCCCAAAAAACAAAACTTCTCAATTCCAAATGCACATTCAGTATGAGTGTCTCTGAATGAATGGTGTAGAAGTGTAGAAAGTGAAGGTCCCGTCTTGGACTGCCCTCTGAGAGTTCTTTCTGTCACTTTCTTTTCATTTTCTTGCCTTTCTCTCCCTCCTCCTGGTCAGGAAGCCTCTGACCAGACACTGCTATGTCGTGTCACACACTTGCACTCTCTGGATCTTAGAGAGACTCGGTGTGTCCTGGAGAGGCGTCCTAGTCTAGCCTGCAGTTCTGGGGACAAGCCTTTTGGGGACTGAGCTGGGTACCCCGGGCTGTGCAGGTAAGAGGGCTGATGGATGGTCCTCGTGGTGTCTCTGCAGGGACTTGTCGCTGATCAAGGTGATCGACGTTGGCCGGAGGTTCCTGGTGAACAGGGTCCAGGACCACGTGCAGAGCCGGATCGTGTACTACCTGATGAACATCCACGTGCAGCCCCGCACCATCTACCTGTGCCGGCATGGGGAGAGCGAGCACAACCTCCAGGGCAGGATCGGGGGCGACTCGGGCCTGTCCAGCAGGGGCAAGAAGGTAGGAGGAAAGCAGGGAGCTCCTGTGTGTAGGGGATGGGGGACCTGCAGGTGGGCAAGGTGCACACTTTCTGCCCTCGCTGCATTATTGTGCTCACTGTGTGTGTGTGTGTTCCTGTGTGCCTGTGTGTGTGTTTTGTATATCTGTGTCTATTTAATTTTGTGTGCCCGTGTGTGTGCATGCATGGGTGTGAAAGGAAAAGGGAGGGAAGAGCTGGGTCTCTGGGCCCTAAGGAGGGTGCAGGGAGCAGGGCTAGCGTCCTGGGTGGCAGTTGGGCCTTCTGGCTGTCTAACCAGGACAGTGTGCAACCCTACGTGGGATTGGGGGAACAGGACCCAATGTGCTGTCCTCTGCATCCTCAGTTTGCCAGTGCCCTGAGCAAATTTGTGGAGGAGCAGAACCTGAAGGACCTCCGAGTGTGGACCAGTCAGCTGAAGAGCACCATCCAGACGGCAGAGGCGCTGAAGCTGCCCTACGAGCAGTGGAAGGCGCTCAATGAGATTGATGCTGTGAGTGCAGCTGTGGGGCTGTGGGAGGGGGAGGGCGGGACAGCTGGGCCTCCTGCATCTCTGTCAGGCTAGCCAGCGCAGCCTGTGGAGCGTGGTCCTGTGAGTGACTACTGGCCATTTCTCCAGGGCGTTTGTGAGGAGCTGACGTATGAAGAGATCAAGGACACCTACCCTGAGGAGTACGTGCTGCGGGAGCAGGACAAGTACTATTACCGCTACCCCACGGGCGAGGTGGGTGTCGGTTGCCTCCTGCCCTCTCTGCATCTGTGGTCAGGGTTGGGGGGTTTGAGCTGTGTGCAGGATTGGCAGAGAGGGCTGCAGGGCTGACTGGACCTTTCTGGAGAGGACTCTATGCTCACTCCCTGCTTATTTCTGCAGCTTTATTCCTGCCATATCTTCCTTGGAATCAAGTCTGCCTGAATGAATCTGTCATCACCCCTAATAGAAGTTGGTCATAGTTCCTATAAGCAGAAGAGATGTGTTTCTCTCATATACAAGAGGCCTTTAAAAAGTTCATGGAAAATGTTATTATAAGAAAACTATGGGTCAACTGTAAGGTAGTTAAAGCAGCCGGATCCCACATGGTTGACCATGGCTGACCACGTGGTTTGAGTCTGGCCTTGCTGACTTGGAGGAGAAAAAAAATATATATTCCAAGCATGCACACATGCGCATGTTCACAATCCTGACAGGTAGAGAAATGGAGGAGAAGGGGTTGCTGTGTGACCATACCTCTCTAGGGTTGCATTCTCTCTCCCTTTCTGTCTCTTTCTCTGGTGAGCTTATGCATTCTCTGGCCAATTAAAAAAAGAAGAAAGAAAAAAAATTATGTATGGATTTTGGGAATATTTGAGCACCAAAATAAAATTATAATTTTTTTTTGAGAGGTTTTTTTTTTTTTTTCTATAGGGCACATGCTCTCACCAGAAAGAGAGAGACAGAGACAGAAGGCGAGACATCACCCCCTGGGGGGGGGGTGAACAATCCCTTCTCCTCTCGGGAGCTTGGGCATGCATACACAGGTGCCCAGCACGAGTTTAAGCCATCAGGTCCGGGACTCGAACCGTGATTGGCTGCATGGGAGTCCAGTGACATAGCCATTACACCAACTATTGGTTCCAAGTTATACTTTTTAAAAAAAATTTTTTTAAAAATTATTTTATTTAACTTTATTTATTTTAATTTGACCAGAGAGGGAGAGAGAAAGAGAGAGAAAGAGAAAGCTGCCAGGTCCAGGACTAAAACCGCGGTCGGCCATGTGGGAGTCCAGCGCCCTTAACCACTATGCCACCTGCCCGCCCCAATAAAGTTATACTTTAATTCCATGTTTTCACCAACTTTTTGAAGTGCCCTCGCATAACAATAATGGGAAAAAGAAAAGATGGGGGGAAGCTTCACGGGAGACAAGCGTTCTCACTTGGGCTGCAGGTGAGACGACTGATGCCCCGGCCTTGAGGAGCCGCTTTGTGGCAGTCACACTGAGGGGCTGGACTGACTCTGGCGGTGGGTGCATCTCCTCACTGTGCACTGTGGCTAGACGGGCAGCTGCGTTGAGCTCAGACGCGGTGTGCAGAGGCACATGGCGATCTGGAGCCCAGCCAGGTGGAGTGTGTGGATTCCTTGCAGGCTCCTTCCTGCCTGTGTCCTTGGGAGCGCTGGCCATTCCTCGGTGCCCAGTGGCCAGCACACTGTCCTCTGTCTCACACGGGCCCTTGCTCACTGGGACTGGGCGGAGAAGGAAGGAGGGTGGCAGAGGGCTCAGGGTGACCAGGAGCATTGCTGGTCATTTCTTAAAGTCACAGCCCTTTCTTTTTACATCTTTTTTTTTTTTTTTTTTTTACTAATACAAGATTCACATCATACAGAATTCACCATATCGACCATATTAAAGAAAATGATTTGTTGGTTTTGAATATATTCAGAATGCCGTGTAGCCATCACCACTAATTCCAGACCATTTTCCTCCCCACAAAAAGAATCCTCCTATCTGTTAGCAGTCACTCCCAATTCCCAGCCCCCGGCAACCACGAATCTACTGTCTCTGTGGATTTGCCTCTCCTGGACATTTTATAAAAATGAGATCATATCACCTACCTGGCCTATTGTACCGGGCTTCTTCCTTTTCACGGCTGTGCACTATTCCATAGTAAAAGCTATCCCTTTGTGAAACCGTTGTCCCCCACCCCGTGGGGAGGAGTCAGAAGAGGACGGAGCTCAGAGGGAGGACGGTGGGTTTATGTTCTGCCTCAGAGGATGACTTTATCTGATGCAGGCCCAGACCCTCAGGGCGTGGATGGATGGGCAGGGTAACTGATCGGTTATATACTGAGTTATAATGATGGTTGGCATCCCATGGTAGCCAAGGTCTCCCCAGAGCACCTCTGCTCTAACGTGGCCTCCCGTGTGTGCTCAGTCCTACCAATTTAAATTGCACAAATGAAATATGCTAGGAAAGCTAAAGAATATAATATTTTTTGAACAAGAGAAGATATTTTACATCACAGCAAATGATTAATTTGTTTCAAATAATGGCTTTTCTTTTCAAAGCCTCTATCTAGTATTACAAACACCAAATGGCCTGAAGCTGTATATTTCATTTCTGTTTCCACATGTTATAATTTTTTTTTGAGAGGTTTTTTTTTTTTTTTCTATAGGGCACATGCTCTCACCAGAAAGAGAGAGACAGAGACAGAAGGCGAGACATCACCCCCTGGGGGGGGGTGAACACACCACAATCCCTTCTCCTCTCGGGAGCTTGGGCATGCATACACAGGTGCCCAGCACGAGTTTAAGCCATCAGGTCCGGGACTCGAACCGTGATTGGCTGCATGGGAGTCCAGTGACATAGCCATTACACCAACTATTGGTTCCAAGTTATACTTTTTAAAAAAAATTTTTTAAAAATTATTTTATTTAACTTTATTTATTTTAATTTGACCAGAGAGGGAGAGAGAAAGAGAGAGAAAGAGAAAGCTGCCAGGTCCAGGACTAAAACCGCGGTCGGCCATGTGGGAGTCCAGCGCCCTTAACCACTATGCCACCTGCCCGCCCCAATTGGGCCCCCCTATGTCTTAACACATAGCTCATATGGGTGATGCCTGGAATTTAGAGCTTCCCTTCTTTGAAAAAATAAAAGTGTAGATGGATACTCACATACTGAGAGGCAATTTTAGTAAAAAACATATTACCTTAATGAGAACAAATAATCTGCCTTAAAAATAAATTATGAGGGGGAACCAGCAGATGTTGTAATGGTTATGTCACTGGACTCCCACACAGTTGACTGTAGTTTGAGTCCTGGACACAGTGGCTTAAAGTTCATGCCGGACATGTATGTGTGCAGGCCCCAAATCCTAAGAGTACAGAGGAGAAGGGATTGTGGTGGGGGCGGGACTGACTCTGGCGGTGGGTGCATCTCCTCACTGTGCACTGTGGCTAGACGGGCAGCTGCGTTGAGCTCAGACGCGGTGTGCAGAGGCACATGGCGATCTGGAGCCCAGCCAGGTGGAGTGTGTGGATTCCTTGCAGGCTCCTTCCTGCCTTTTTTTTTTTTTTTTTTTTTTTACTAATACAAGATTCACATCATACAGAATTCACCATATCGACCATATTAAAGAAAATGATTTGTTGGTTTTGAATATATTCAGAATGCCGTGTAGCCATCACCACTAATTCCAGACCATTTTCCTCCCCACAAAAAGAATCCTCCTATCTGTTAGCAGTCACTCCCAATTCCCAGCCCCCGGCAACCACGAATCTACTGTCTCTGTGGATTTGCCTCTCCTGGACATTTTATAAAAATGAGATCATATCACCTACCTGGCCTATTGTACCGGGCTTCTTCCTTTTCACGGCTGTGCACTATTCCATAGTAAAAGCTATCCCTTTGTGAAACCGTTGTCCCCCACCCCGTGGGGAGGAGTCAGAAGAGGACGGAGCTCAGAGGGAGGACGGTGGGTTTATGTTCTGCCTCAGAGGATGACTTTATCTGATGCAGGCCCAGACCCTCAGGGCGTGGATGGATGGGCAGGGTAACTGATCGGTTATATACTGACTTATAATGATGGTTGGCATGCCATGGTAGCCAAGGTCTCCCCAGAGCACCTCTGCTCTAACGTGGCCTCCCGTGTGTGCTCAGTCCTACCAGGATCTGGTTCAGCGCCTGGAGCCGGTGATCATGGAGCTGGAGCGGCAGGAGAATGTGCTGGTCATCTGCCACCAGGCTGTCCTGCGCTGCCTGCTGGCCTACTTCCTGGATAAGAGTGCAGGTGCCGCCTCTCACCCGGGTGTGTCTGTGGTGCTGCTGGATGTTAGGAAATGTGGCACAGGCGGCCGGCTCCCAGCCTGCAAGGGGCTTCTCTACCTGGTACCTCTTTGTTGGCCTTAAGGAAGCCCTCTGAGCACAGAATTATGCACAGTGGCCTCCTGAAAACCCTCGGGCTCCTCAGAGCTGAGGGGTGGGTGTGGGAGTGGGGTTGAGGGCGGCAGCTCTTCAGTCCACCTCCGAGGAGCAAACAGCCCAGGACACTCTAATGATACTATTCACATTTTGAATCTTGTGTCTTTCTGAGGTTTGGCTGAATTCCTAGACAGGCCTTTGTGATTTAGAAAATGCCTTTCAAAACAAAACAAAACTAAACAAGCTCTAATTTATTGTGGGAGGGTGGGAGGGTGGGTTTTTGGTGATTTTTTTTTTTGGATTGCTTTAGTTGTGCTCTTTTTGGTCAGATGTCTTTTTTTGGGTAGGGTGGCACGACTTCTGGTGGGCCTATAGACGTCCCTCCATCTCTCCTGTTGCCCCAGGCCTCGTGTCTAATTGTGGGACCGATCTCTTTTCAGAGGAGATGCCCTACCTGAAATGCCCCCTCCACACCGTCCTGAAGTTGACACCTGTTGCTTACGGTGAGTGTCAGCCCCTGCCCAGCCCTGCACCCTGGGTGGCAGCTCTTGTGATTGTGGGCTACAGGCAGGACTGTCCCTGTAACAGAAGCTGCCTTCTCTCCTCGTCCATTGTCCCCCAGGTTGCCGTGTGGAATCCATCTTTTTGAACGTAGAGTCTGTGAGCACACACCGGGAGAGGTCTGAGGTGAGCACAGGGTCCCATGCCCACCCTGGCCTGTGTCCCACGAAGGGAGTTCTTGTGCAGGGCCGGGCCGTGGGATGTCCTGGGACTGGCTGTCTGTAGGTGCTGATTGGGTTCTTTGGCCACCTTCTCTTCTTGTGCCTTCTTGGGATCTTCTTTCCTTTCTTTCTGTGCTTTCTTCCCCTATTTCTATGAAGTCTTCGGGGGAAGCCATGACATATTTTTCTATGTTTTTCTATGCAAAGATGTGCCCTGACTTTCCTGACAACCCAGTATTTGACCTGAGCAGTGAGCATCCAAGGGGAGGATGCGTGCTTCTCTTTTAGACACAAGTGTGACCCAGTTGCTCTTCCTTCTCCTCTCAGGCTTCTGAACCTGTGCTGTCACTGGTCACACAGGGTCAGCGTGGCAGCTAGTTCACCCCGCGCCCAGGTCTGGCCTTACCCAGAGCGTGGTAGTGATGAACCAGGACTATGGGTGGGAGATGGAAGACGTGAGAGCTGCTGATGGGAAGATTTTTAGGAGACTCTGGTGCTTCCTGTTACGTGTGTCCCATTCCAGAAAGGCCTGAACTTTGTCAGTCAGTCAGGTTGAATCTCTTCCAGAACAGGTGGGATTTCTGCCCAGGCGTGCACTGTGAAAGTACATACAATGCAGGCTCTGAAAATATGACTCCGTATAGGCTGTTGCAGTACAGAGCTTTGTCCGTACCAGTTAGACCTTCTCCACCGGGGCTTTCTGTCCATGGAGGTCCCCCAATAGGTTACTTCCCTTTCTCAGGGAGCTTGGCCATTGGATTTGGCATTAAGGGGACATAAGATGCCCACTGCAGTGTCCTGGCTGGTAGACAGAAACAAGAGGAGCGTGTTCTTAGGACACTCCGCCTGCCC